CCCCCCCCTTTTTTGCTCCGCCCCCCCTTTTTTGGCTCCACCCCCGTCCCGATATTTTATACTGGTAATCTGGTCACCCTACATGCAAGTAATAAAGACTATCTCTAAGAGCATGGCACAAAGTCTCCTATTCTTATGCCTAACTGCAAGAATTCTGCATTGTTCTGTCCCAAAGACATTATATGAATAATCAAAGGTATTCCAGAGAGGCAATTAATCTAGGCAAATCATCCATTTTTGTTGGCCCATTGATGATACCTCGCTGCATATAAGGAAACGTATTTCCTTTGTGTGATCCAGAGTTAAAAAATGACTCAAAGACAATTCCATGGCTCTCTGTAGGCCCTATCTACACTATCTTATAATCATATTTAAACACACAAAAAGTAAAATTGTCATCTGTACACATCACATTTACAGACATACCCAAGTTTTCATTTCTAGAGCTTGGTGCAAGAGAATTGTGAAGAGAGAGATGGTATTGATGGGGGTTCCAAATGTGAAGACATCAATGTCAGAGTCCTTGTACGTCTAGAAAATGGACAAAAATCAGATATGCATTCTGACTAGTCAAGGTTTAAAGAAGTAGTGTTTAAATCCTCTACGTACTTACCAAATAAGGGACAAAGAAGCAGATGAGACTCTGGTAGAAGGCATCCAACACGGCAATACTAAAAGTTGACAGCTTGTAGGTCTGTAGGAAGTGAGGGATAACTATTATCACTCTGTTTCTGCTAGTTTGTAATGCATCCATTAACTCATCTTTAAGAGCCTGATTCTGCAGTTCTTATTTTGGCAAAACTCCCATAAGAGCTGTATGTTTGGGCCAAATGTCATTCTTTAAAACTCCTTTCCATGGAACAGTAAGTTTAGGGAAATGTAATGTGATTGCACATGTTGACATTTAAGCCTTTATCATAACTTTTAATGCAAGAGCTGCAGTAACCGATAGGGTCACTATGGGAGTGGCAGGTTGATGAGGCCTTCAGAATGCCAGAGCACCAATGACTATGCCCTTTGAAAACAGGAAGAAATACATTCCACCGAGACCAGGACAACAGCGAGTGTTGGAAGAGGGTGGGACCTCTTCAGAGAGTCTGTTGGCAGCATGACTACCTTCCACATTTTGTATTCCAAGAGCTGGACTATCAGAACATCAAAGTGAAATTAGTCTGAGTCATGGGCACTCAGCACCACTGAAAATCACACCCCAAACTAAAAATGTGACTGCTGCATAAAACGGAGGAGCCCTGAGTCCTTCTGTATTCCACTGTTCTGGGACCTGAAAAGGGCAGGTCAAAATCTGCCCTCAAAAAAGGTTTTGATTAGAACAGATTAGAAAAGAACAGTTGAGCCCAAGCTAGGCTAAGCATTTTAAAATGACAGAGAAAAAAATGTGTGCATTTGTAATAAATAAATAAAAGATCAGCCTGGTTCTCTGAACTTGACAGGGAGGTTTGAGAAAAAGCTTAATATAATCGCTTATACATATTCCCTGATTTTTATCAATTTCTGAGTATTCAAAGGAAAAAATGAAAGCATCCGGGCCTGGAAAAGCAGGGACACCAAACTCTTATAGTGACAAAAGAAGTACTTTGTATATTAAAAAGACTATTTCTAAACATAACAGCAGGAGCGCATACACGCAGTCTGCCAGTCTTTTGTTGATCTAAAGTCTTAAGTTTACGTGTCACTTTCTACTGCCATCTTCACTTTAAAAGCTTTTCCTTTAGAACTCCTGCTTAGGTTACAAATACTCAGACCCCATCAGAATTTAAATCAGGGGCCATGCTGTTTTTACACTCAGCTGTTACCTTTCAACTCCACTCATTTATTTCTTCCTACATCCCCCAATAATGAAAAACAAAAGTCTTTACAAATTCTTCCACTTCATCTTTCTTCAAGCCACAGACATTACACCTTTCTGATGTTAAGAGAGTCTTCAGGGTTTCAATGTATAGGGCTTGATTCTCCAAAGCTGCTCTCCATTGACTTCAGTGGACTTACGTTGTTTGCAGTGGTGTTATAACTGTGTTGGCCCCAGGATGTTGAAGCCATGGGATGGGTGAAGTAATATCTTTTATTGGACCAACTTCTGTCGAAGAACAGCTTTGTGGAAGCTCCAAAGCTTGTCTCTTTCATCAGCAGACATTGATCCAATAAAAGGGATTACCTCACCCACCTTATGTCTTCAGTGGACTTACACAGGAGTGAAACTGGAATGACTCAGTGGCCAATCAGGCCCAGGAGATTTGTGACCGCACCAATTCTCTGGTTTACACCTTCCAACTCAGCCCCATCATTGGCACCAGCACTCAGCCCAGCTTCCACCACCACCTCCACTTTAAATCCACTCACAGGTACTTGTCATGACCCTAGTTACACAATCCTTTGGGTGGCTGTAAGCAGAAGAGAAAAAATAGGTGGATAGTGGATATCAGGGAGGGGGGGGAGCACGAAAAGAGTTGAGAACCACTGCCTTATCAAACAAAACAGCAGATCTCATACAGTTACACCAGCAGCCAAGACCCACCTCTGAATTTTGCCCACTCTTGTATAGTTCAGGCAAACTTAGGAGTGTTTCTGCAGATACATCTTTATCCAGGATTCCAAAAAGGATGGGGGGCATCGAGGTGAAAAAGAGGTTGAAGAAGATCATCTGCCAGTAATCTATCATAGTGGTCCCTGAGAAGCCACAGAAGAACTGGTACCAGAAGAGCAGGCTGACGTAGCTCTGTGAGAGAAGTGAACAAAAACCACCAAACGATGCATTATGAGTAGACAGTCCCAACATTTCGAACTTGCAAGAAAAATTGCTTTTGGTAAGTATAAATTTCATTTTACTTTGGGCTCCTGAAGCCACAAAGTCACAGTTCTCCTGTGGCCTCTTCTTTGGACCTTCACCAATTGTGATGGTCTATTTGGGGCTGGTGTGAGTTCCTCATTTTGCAGTGCATAGTTAATCCCAGCCAATAGGTCCACCAATGGGGTTTAAATAGCATGGAGAGCTCTGAGATATTCTTCCACACCACATATCCATTCCACCTTTAGCTACTTGATATTCCACATCACACATCCATTTCACTAAGAGAGATCTTAAACTGATAGCTTTGCATTCCTTCACTTAATCAATGCAATGTACCTTTAAGGAATATTTTGGTTTTAAATCAATGCATCACGGTGTATTTCCTTTAAGAAAATACAGCAGAGCAATTCAATTATTCAGTTCTGAACACCAAGTTTTAAATCCTTTTACAAAATTGGTTGTGACTGTGGAATCAAAAGGTCTCTTCCCACTCCCAAATGGTAGCGGGGAGATAATGAACAACAGCATTCCAGTTGAGAAAACTATTTCATGTCGCAAATAAATATCATTTAAGCTTTGAAAGCATGCCCAGACCAAAAAAGTTTTCCATTACAAATTTTAATATTGATAAGACATGATCCTTATTTAAAATGATGACTTTAAAAAAAATTTAAAATGTGAACACTTTGAATTCTAAGTAAATAGTCTTTCATGCTCAGAATGTATTTCAAGTTAAATAGACTTGTTTGCACAGGCTTGCTGAAAGTGTATTACTCTCAAGTTTATCCACTTTACATTATTCTTCAATGCACAGCTTATTTGCATTTACATTAAACTTTTAATAAAAATGCTAGATATGACCGCACCAGTGCTTGCAAGCAATTCCTATAAAATTAATAACAAAAATTCACAAGTTTCACATGCAATTCTTGCCTAATGTAAAGTCATCTTCCATCTTCTAGCACTAATCTACCATTCCTTATGCAAATAGATAGCAAATTTTATTTTGAGGCTCATGAGTGTTACTGGAAAAGTTTCTGAACTAATAAAAGTCACTAAACTGAGGTATTTCCTCTTCTGGGACAGTACTATCAACTTGTACAGTGAAAGATCTAGATGTTACTTTTTCTGAAGGCTTTAGGTCAGTAGAGTAGTAAGAGTGAACTTGTGAGTAACCATGAACTGTCCAAGTGAAGAAAAAGGAATTTCAATTCAATGAACATTAAAGAAACATGGCCTACAAGAACTGGTACTTTAAGCCAGCTTGACTGAAGTAAACCAAGGCATCCAGGATCCTTTGCATCTTACCACATTTTTGTAGAAGAAGTAAATCACCATCTTTGCCAAGCGAGAGTAGCACCAATGTCCATGGACCAGAAGTAGCTTCTTGAGATGTTTAAATCGAGATATTGCAAAGTCACTGGCCATCACAGCCTTAAATAAAAAAGTATTGAGATTATTTATTAAAAATTCTATTTCTCTACCCAACATGATCTGATTCAAGAATGAACAATGAGGAAACCACCCACTATTGTGTTGACACTTTGAGGCTGGTTAACTAAATATGAAACTGCACCCTTCTGCCTTCCCAGAATGCACCATAAAAATTTTGATTATGAGCCCAGAATGATAAGGGAGGGGGAACATCTGGAAAGAAATTAGGGCGAAAAGCAGCCTTGTACCAGAATCTTGGGGAAATTCTACAGAAGAGGTGATCCAGAAAGCTATTCCACTGATGGATATTCATCTGCTGATTTTTCAAGCTTAGGATAAACAGTTAGTCCCACAATGATGGAAAGGATAATGTCAGGATAGCAATAATGCCAACTTGTATCTTAATTTCAAGTTGTTACTTAGAATAAAGGTCCTTCTATAAGCCCTTGAAGCTACTCAAATATACTTCATAAAAATAGAAAGGGGGATAAATTTAAGGGATACCTGCATGCCTTCCTGGCCAGAAATTCCAATCCCAACATCAGCTGCTTGAATCATACTCACATCATTTGCACCGTCACCTTGAAGAGAAAAAAGAACCGATTTCCAGAAATATGAAAATAAAGGATAAAATAATGCCAAGGTTTGGTTTTGTTCAGTATTATATGCCTGTATCTGAGAGCAACATCTCAAAGTATTGCTGATAGACAAATATCTTTACAATAACACATTTAGGGTTGCTGGTGCCTTTCCTTGTGGTCAGGTGGATTAGGATTAGGTCAAGCAGTCAAGAAACTTGGATCTGATACCTCCTTGCTGTGAGCCTTTGGGTCACAAACTCTTGGGATGAAATTCTGGTTCCATTGAAATCAATGGCAAAACTCCCTCCATAATACTTGCAAGCATAAAGTATTAAGCAGAGTCAGTGACTGAGGTAGCAATACATGAACTCATGTATTTTAACAATCACATTTGTTCAGATTTCCCAAAGTACAGGCTATTTTTTATGGACTTTCTACAAAAATAAATTTACTTCATGAGGTTCAGCTTATTTACTCCAACCATCACCAAAACCAACAAGCCAAACAAAAAAGCCTTAGAGAACAATTTGTTCCCCCTTCCTCCTACGGCAAAAAAGCAATTTTTTCCATCTTATCATAACTCGTGGCCTAAAACATTCAGATTCAGGCAGGTACCATGCATGGAAAAATTCAGCCCAAAGATGCATGTTTTCAAAAGTTCTGAGTAAAAGAAACAGGAGTTATAATAGTTTTATGATGACTTCCTTCTCACATACTCTCTATATCACCTGATACCAAATATAAAGCATATTAACAATCACTGTTATGTTTTTTCTTGGTGAAACCCAAATGATCAAAAGCATGCTTTTGTAGTAATTCATTTTGTAGATTTCTTTGACTTAAATCACACAAGGTAATGCAAATTATACAGTATAACAAGCCACTTTAAAACCACAATTCTACTCATCATAATTTTGGTGACATTTTCAAGATCTTTGACTACAAAGAATATCCCTGTGGCAAGAATATTCAGGTTTGTATGTAAACATGTAGTCTGTGAGCAAGGTAAACTAGTGAAGTCGCATAAACAAAATGGAAGTGTGGCAATATATATCTTGCTTTTACATTTTCCTTTAAAAAAATGATGCAAATCTAGAAATGTAAAAAATTATCAGACCCTTCCCTTCCTGTTAATATTTTGTTTGGTCCCTGCAGGCCTTGGTTATGTTTTAAGTTTTTAAGTCAATTCTGCAAGGATTTTAGTAGAATCGCACACACTGAAACAAGAAACTTGCCGATTTCACATCAACTAGTTTACTTGCAGGTTAAAAGCAAGCGTGTCAGTATCTAATGCTGCTCTGGGGATATGCCCTGTTTTGAAAAATTGGGAAAAATCCAAGAGTAAAAGGGAAATGTTAACACAACAAGCAGAGTAACTATTATAATGATTGGTTTTCCTGAACTGAAGAGTTTTGGAGGGAGGCGGGGAGGAAGAGTTGCTGATATTCAAAGTTGCTGGGTGCCCTCATCTGATCTTTGACTTTAATGGGAGATGAGGTTGTTCAATGGTAGGAAAGAGGAAATTTCACCTGCAAGCGTATGGCTAATGCTAAGGAGAGAATATTTAGCACCATCTTTTTCCCATGTGCTCGTAACTCATGATGAATATAAAAAGCATAAAACCAAAATAATCTAGAATTTCAAGAGACTAAGAAAGTTAAGTACCTATTGACAGTGTCATGACTTTTAATTGTCTCCGCACTAGTTTGACCACCATGCTCTTCTGCAAAGGAGTGGCACGGCAGCACAAAACTGAGCGACAGTACTTGGTCAGCTCCAGAAACTTCTCTTCCAGCTTTCCTTGGAAAATGACGTTCAATGTTTTCCCATCAACTACCAGCCCAATGTCAGGACTGGGGGCCACAGAGGCTGGTAAAGATGATGACAGGCTAATGCCAAAAAATTTCCATTTTGTTCTTTCAACATTAGAATTCTTCCTTACTTCTTCCAATGTTAAATCCAAGAGGGATTCACAGGTTTCCTGGAGGGAGATGAGATCATTATATAATGCTTATATGCATCTCCCATTACACCATATCACCCACTGGTATGTCTAACCAGGCCAGGTGCATTAGAGGATGTCACAGAAGCATTAGGAACAATTAACAAAGCACAGCAATAGTTTACCACACTGGAGATGACATCAGTGATGTTCTCAGCTTCTCCACCCGTACAAAATATGTTGAAAACACAGACCATTTTAACAGCTATTTGCTTCCAATATGACCTTTCATTTTAAAAGAAAGTCTAGCTTTACAAAGAGAGCCTATATTTGCGTATGCAATGCTAAGAATTTGGGGAAAGCAACATGGAATAATTGTTTTTAATAATAAATTGCATTGTTGTAGCCTTTTCCATGCAGGGATCTTAACATTCATTCCTAACAATAATGTTTGTAATAACAACAAACATCCCTGTGAGGGACAGTGAAGTCATGATTCATATTTCTCTTTCAGACACGCACACATGGAATCTGACAACTCCCATGTGAGGGATGGTGAAGGCATGATTCATCTCTCTCTCTTTCTCTCTCTCTCTCTCACACACACACCCCCTGACATAAAAATTAAGGTCCAGATTTTTAAAAGTAGCCACTGGTTTTGAAAATTAAATAATGTGTTGTGACACATCAAGTGCACGGCATAGCTAGGAACTTAACCCAGGTTCCAACAGCACTTGCTTTAGTCACAGAACGATACTTCCCTCATTAGTGCATTTCCCCGTTTTGGACCGAATTCTTCTTTCGGAGGCACACAGTCCCTAGAATGGCTTAAGCAGGAGCTGGATACAAACATATCCAAGGATGGATAACTTGTTCCAAAGTGCCTTCTTTTCCCTAAGATTTCATAAGGGCACAGTGACAGTGTGACATATGGTGTCACCCAAAGTTCATCTTGCTGTTCGTGCTAAAAGTCTTTTTCTGTGGCATGGCATAGAATACCTGAAGAGCTAATCACTCCCCTTTTTTGCCTTCTGTCAGCCTTACTGAGTGATGATTCAG